CCGGTACCGTTACGGGCACCGCCCCCGGTGGGCTGCCCCCACGCACCCCGGGGATCCCCGGGCTGCCTCACCGGCGTGCCCCGCAGCATCCCCAAGGAGCCCCGAGCTGCCCCACAGCTACTCCCAGCGAACCCAGGCTGCCTCACAGCCACTCCTGGGGAGCCCGGAGCTGCCCCCCAGCAACCCCCGGCAAGCCTAGGCTGCCCCGCAGCGCTTTTGGGCAGCCTGGAGCTGCCCCGCAGCTTCCCTGGGGAGTCCGAGCATCCCCAAGGAGCCCGGAGCTGCCCTACAGCAACCTCCAGGGAGCCCGGACTTGTCCTGCAGCACCCCTAACGTGCCCCACAGTATCCCTGGGGAGCCCCGAGCTGCCCCACAGCAACTCGCAGCCAACCCAGGCTGCCTCACAGCCACTCCTGGGGAGCCCGGAGCTGCCCTACAGCAACCCCCGGCAAGCCTAGGCTGCCCCACAGCACTGCTGGGGAGTCTGGCGTGTCCCACAGCATCCATGGGGAGCCTGGAGCTGCCCCACAGCATCCCTGAGGAGCCCAGCCCCAGTCCCCAGGGAGCACAGCCTCAGCCCCACATCTGCCCTGCAGAGCCCAGCAGAAATGAGCCGTCGCGGGGCCTCTGGCACTTTGTGGGGGGCTGCAAGGTGGGGAGTCGGTCTGGGCGCTGTTGGTCCAGGCGCTGTCGGTCCCCAGGACATGTCCCTGCACAAGCCTTTCCCGGGGGACTGCGGGAGGGCTTTTGGGTCACTACGAGCTTTCCACGGGGTTTTCCCTGCAGTGTGGCCACAGCAGTGTGGGTTGTTGTCCAGTAAAGCGAGCCTGCCCAGCCAAGGGGCAATGGGAAACCTGGGGCTACCATTTTGGGGAGGACTACAGCTAGGGGAGGGGTTTTCAGGCATCCCTGGTGCATCCCCTGCAGAGCAGAGCCAGGGGGACAGTGGGGGCAGCAGTAAAACACCCGTTGGCACAAGGCTGGGTTACAACACCTCCACCAGCGGATTTCTTTGGAAGCGGGGGCCCGGCTCATTTTGGGGCCGAGTGGGACAGGGGCATAAGAAGGACAGGGCGCCCTGCGACACCAGGACACGCTGCCCCAGGGCTGCTCCCATCTCCAAACCTCTCGTTTGCTGAAATCCTCAGCTCCCGGAGCCACGCCAGCCCCTCTCCCGCGCGCCCCCGCACACCCCCGAGCTGTCAGCTCCTTACATAAGGTTGCGTCTACGCCCGAGATATCATGGGGGAAAGCTTGAAAACAGGAGGCAAAAGGTAACAGGGAAAGCTCAGCCCCCCCAAAAAGTGTATTTTTAGGCTTCGCGTGATGGCTCCGTTCCCTGGGCAAAACGCTGAGGGCTGAGCCACGTCCTGCACCCGTCTGCCTTGGGCGGGGGGGGGTGTTTGACCTCCCTGCTGTCCCCAGCGAGGGGATGAGGCTTTTTGGGGTGGTTGGTCCCCAGGAAACTGAAGCTGAGGAGGGAAAGGCAAAGCTTTCCTGTGGCACAGGGAGTGATGGATCAAAAAAAAAAAAAAAAAAAAAAAAAAAAAGGCAAACGTTATGATTTTCACAGCAGAAAATTGCTTTTAAGAAAAGGAATCAGGGTCTCAGCCAGGCCGGATCTCAAATCCACGCTCTTGGGAAGGCGGCGGCGCTCGGTGCGTGATTTGGCAGAGCCCTGAGGGAAAGTCTTGGGGGGTTCTTGTTTATTTTCCCCACGATGTGCTTTGAGCCGCCGACAGAAGGAGATTTTGTTTTCCGGCAGGAGCAGAAGGGCACGAAGGGCAAGGGAGGGCGACCACCCCGGGGAGAGGAGGGACGCCTCCACCAGCATGCTGGAGCCTGGCTTTTCCCATCGGGATCCTGTCTCTTCCCGCTGGCAGCAGCGCGCAGGCAGGCAGCCTCGCTGCGGCGGGCAGCCACCGCCATC